ATGGAAACACAGCAAAGAAAAATGCAGCATATCACCATTTCAGGAAATATATTACTTTTAACTCTTATACAGTTTAATGATCTTTGGGTATAATGGTAAAGTATTTTAAGCATACTCATAAATTTGAAGCTAGATAATAGAGAGTAGAGAATAGAGAATAGAGCAGAGCAGAGCAGAGCAGAGCAGAACAGAACAGAACAGAACAGAACAGAACAGAACAGAACAGAACAGAATATTATTTATTGGCCAAGTGTGATTGGACACACAAGGTATTTGTCTCTGTTGCAGTATACATACTCAGTATGCATACAAGCAACAAAGAGCTAAATCATTAATCATAAGATAAAATCATAAATCATAAGATGCAGCCAACAAAGTGATAGTTATATCAATAGGAGTAGGTAATAGGAAAGATGAGAAGGATAATAGTAATACAGTCCGACTCAGGGGTGAAATGTAAAATTTGTTACTACCGGTTCTGTGGGCGTGGCTTGGTGGAGGGAGGGAAATGTGACTGAGTGGGCGTGGCCAATTTTTTTAAAAACTTTTCAAAGCACTTTTTCTAATGCTTTGAAAAGCCTCTGCCGATCAGGCAACTCAGCTGGGATCGTCAGAGAGGCTTTTTAAAAAATGCTTTGAAAAGCCTCTCTGCCGATCAGGCAACTCAGCTGGGATCATCAGAGACTTTTCAAAGCATTTTTTTTACCACATCTTCGGCCAAGAGGTTGCAGAAAAAAATGCTTTGAAAAACTTCTGACGATTCCAGCTGAGCCGCACGATCATCAGAGGCTTTTTTTTTTAACTTTTAAAAGCATTTTTTCATCGGAAGAGGTTGTAGAAAAAATGCTTTTAAAAGTAAAAAAAAAGCCTCTGATGATCATGCGGCTCAGCTGGGCATGGGGGGGAGGGTGCAAGGATTTTTGCTACCGGTTCTCCGAACCACCTGACGCCATCGCTACCAGATCGGCCGATCCAGTCCGAACCGGGAGCATTTCACCCCTGGTCCGACTACATGGTTAGATATCCTTAAGCATACTAGTCAGAGATCAGGATTTGACAGAATCCTTAGCTATTTTATTTTGGATTTTTAGATAAAGCGATGTATGAATCTAAGCCATTGTACCTTGTAAACAATGGAACACAGTGAAGCACAAACCCAACCAATTTGTTGTTTCTTAAAAAAATTGAACAGTTAATAGGGGCTTAGTACAATGTGTAAATGTAGCTAAAGAGTTTGAGTAAGGGTTCCCTTTCAGACCTGAGAAAATATATGATTGTTTTATACTAGATAAACTAGTAAACAATGTAAATATGTTCCACTTCTATGTATTACAAATTTCCCTCTCCTCAGTTTTTCTATTAGATTTATTGATTATTACAATCTCTCAGAGAAACAGTGTTAATTTACATGTATTAAGTATAAAGATTTCCCAACTTTCATTTCCATCAGGGAGTTAGGGTGAGTTGCTATAGCAACAGAAGTATCACTTGAACAGTTGAATACACTGTAAGAACTTCTGTCAGAATAGCATCATTGAACAGATGTCTAATATCTCAATCTAAATATGGTGGCTCAGGATAAATGAACTCATGCAGCAATCTTTCCAATCCTCAGGACATCCAAGATAAGTCATTAATTCATCCCCTGTTAGCAAATGCTCAGATACAAGATTAGGAAAAGCCCCACTATCTATTTTAGCTCTGGGTCTTATTAAAAAGAAGTGGGGGATAGCTCTTCACTGCCCAGAGGAAAAGAATTGGGGTCAACCGAGAAATAGCATTTCTAAATATAAGATGAATGAAAGGAAATATTCTGAAATCAATATGAAGAGCATTGCAATTGCATCAATGCTTATTTTTAATGGATCAAAATTAAGGAGCATTAGCCCTTCTAGAAACTCAGTATTGATTAGCATTTTTAAATGGATACAGTTATTTTTAAGATAGTCCTATATAGAAACAGCCATCTTGATGTTCTCTTCTACACACACACACACACACACACACACACACACACACACACACACAAGATTTATCATGAGATTTGTGCTTCAGCATGTACATCAGCTGTAGCACACCATGAGTTTAATATTGAGAGAAGTTTTTAAATGCAACAGCATGAAGTTAAATTAACAGAACTGTTCGGTATTTGGTCTGCTTTCATATTTTTGCCAACCAAAGCAAGCACAGCCAAGACGATCCAATCTCTGAATGCAAAACTTCATTAAGGACATCATTTTGGCACTGATGAGGGCAAAACCAGATCTAGCTAATTCCTACACAAATCCACATAATTGAAGTATAGGATTCACACTTCTCCTTATTAGTGCAGGTCCAATTGAGTGTTGTATTGTTATGAGAAAAAGTCTTTGGGTTTGGCAAACACATGCCAAAGAGTCCTTGGTTCTCATGGATCTTCTTCTTGATGTCTGGAGCCTACATGCCATCTCACCCTTCCCTCCCCCCTGGTTCTTTGGCAAGCTGAGATGCGATAATAGTTGCAACAGCATAAGCGCACTTCGAACTTGACAATCTTATCATCTCTGTCTTGAACTACTTCATCTAGCTTCTTCAAACACTCAATTTCAACATAAACACAGAAAATCTAAAATTTTCTCAAGCTAAGTCTTACCGTTGATAAATCATCTGAAATCTGAATGCTATCTTCTAGTATTTAATTAATTTAATATTAAATTTTCATTTTTTTTACCATTTATCCTATTCTTAAATTTTGCTTTCCACTGTCTTGGTTATCTAAACTTACAAATACTGAGTACAGAGGAAATCTTATCAAGGAGAGATCCAACCTAGAATTAAGGAGAAATTTCCTGTCAGTGACAACAATTAACCACTGGAACGGCTTGCCTCCATATGTTGTGGGTGCTTCATCACTAGAAGTTTTAAGAAGAGATTGGGCATCCATTTGCCCAGAATGATATTGAGTCTCCTGCTTGAGTAGGGGTTGGACTAGAAGACCTCCAAGGTCCCTTCCAACTTTATTATTCTGTTATTTCATTTCCAGGCTATGGAACACATTCCAAGGAAATGCATTTTATTCCCATTCTCCTAGTATTTAAAGAAGGTGATAAAAACATCTCTTGTTAGATGTTTTAATTCATTTGATTTAAAGTTTGGTTTCGAGTTTAATTGCATTAATTTTGTTATGTTTTTATGCTTTGAACTTTTTTTATTGTTGTAAGCTGCCTGGAGTGTTGGAACAAACTAAAAAAATAATTCATTCATTCAATGTATTGGGCTGCTTAACAGCGGTGAAATCCAAACTGATTTGCTACTGGTTCACTGGCCGCGCATGTGCGCCGCGCACCAAATGCTCTGTTCGTGCGCATGTGCAGTGCACACTAAAAAGAGGCTTGGGAAGGGGGATCAGCTGTGGTGTGTGATTTAGCTTCGCTAGAAAGCAGGATCTCCTGCTTTCTAGAAAAGCTAAACTGCGCTGCACAGCTGATCCTCCCCCCACTGTTCTACTTACCTTCCCAAGCCTCCTTTTGGTGCACGCTGCGTGTGCACGCATGCACACTATGTGTCAGAAGGAGGCTTGGGAAGGTAAGTAGAACAGCAGGGGGGATCAGCTGTGGTGTGCAATTTAGGCTCGCTAGAAAGCAGGAGATCCTGTTTTCTAGAAAAGATAAACTGCGCTGCACAGCTGATCCCCCCCGCTGTTCTACTTACCTTCCCAAGCCTCCTTTTGGCACATGCTGCGTGAGTGCTTGGGAAGAGGGGGATCTGCTGTGGCGCGCAATTTAGCTTCGCTAGAAAGTAAGAGATCCTGCTTTCTAGAAAAGCTAAACTGTGCTGCACAGCTAATCCTCCCTCCGCTGTTCTACTTACCTTCCCAAGCCTCCTTTTGGCATGTGCTGCGTGAGCGCGCATGCACAGTACGCACCAAAAAGAGGCTTGGGAAGAGGGGGATCAGCTGTGGTGCGCGATTTAGCTTTGCTAGAAAGCAGTATTTCCTGCTTTCTAGCAAAGCTAAACCCAGCGGATCGTCAGAAATACAGGTTCAGGGGAACCGGTAGCTTCTTTAACTAATGGTTCAACTGAACCAGTAGCTAACTACCAGTTTGCTGGAACCGGTAGCTTTTTTTTTACTACTGGTTCACCAGTATCACTACCAGTTTGCCCGAAGCAGAGCGAACTAGTAGCATTTCACCCCTGCTGCTTAATCAAAATGATCCAGATATGTATATTTATATTTCACAATTTTTGAAACTATTTTTGAAACTATTTTGGAGGTCTGTGAAAGGTCATAATTTACTAGGTTCTCTGTAAGTTATACTTCATGATTGACCAGTTTTGCTGTAGGTTTTATCTATTTTAGATTTTATCTTGGATTTTCCTTTTGCGGTTGATTTTGTTTCTGATTATTTTCTTTTTTCAGTCTTCTTTTTGTTTGATGTTATACACTGCCCAGAGTCCTTTGAGATCTGGGCATGTTGCTTGCACTGTAAATAGATAACATAAATAAATTACAGCTGGATACACACAGCATGCTAAACCAAGACCAAAGAAGCCACATCAGTGCCTAGGACTATGATAACTTTCTGTAGGTAGAAATACGATTGAAAAACAATCCTGTGTACACTTAACTGGGAGCAAACACAAAAGAATTTACTTCTGAATAAAAACATATTCATAATTACAGTGATGGTCATCAACATTGACCCATTTTCCTAGGTTATCATGTTTCTATTCAATATTGAACCTATTAATTTGTGGGGGGAGTGTACATGAAAAGAATCGTAGATCTTCATTATAGGTATTATTGGATATAAGAAAAATGGTTTTCTTGTTTTGCAATGTCTTTTTTCTTTTATCACAAAGCTTTGGTTTCTTGTGCCTCCCGCAAAGAATGACTACATTTGACCTAGATGCTGTCATTTGAAAATTATAGCAATGTATATACAATATAAATGCATAATCTTACTGAAGATTGATTTCTTTATATTTCATATCACTCACAACCCTCCTCAATCACAAAGGACTCTGAAGATTGGACATTATCAAACACAAAGTAAGTCCCTCATCTCCCCACCACCATCGAAATAGTGCAGATAGGCAGCACAGTCAGCTAGGACTGAATGCACATTGAAATAAAAGTTTTAACTCGTTTATGGAATTGCAGCAAGGTGGGTACCCTCATGTGCTGACAATTCAGCTGGGTGACCTTGGGCCAGTCTACTCTCTCATAGCCCAACCATCTCCACAGGGTTGTGATTGTGGGGAAAAGAAGAAGGAAGGAATTTTAAATATGTTCGGCATCTTGAGTTATTTCTGAAAAATAATAAAGGTGGCATAATAATAAAATAGAGATTTAACAGGGAAGATCTGTCATTGCACCACTGCCCCATGGACTTAGTGGGAAAGAACATGTGACCTTAGTAGGGCACATGGACAGATCAATTTTCTGATAAATCCCAGTGCTCCATTGATCAGATTTTAAAGATAATAACCAGAAGTAAGGATTTCTTTATATATTTGCCTATTTTTCTGATATTCGTACTTTTCTCTTTCTTCTGTTTATTTTCTTCCATTTTTCTTGCACTTTTTATTTTTTTTAATTCTCTCAATTGTATTTTACTATTATGTTTGTTGAGATAGGGGAGCAAAATAAATTTGATTAACAAATATATAACAATCAAAATTCTTAATAAAAATTATATATAAAAATCCCACATGAAACTTAGCTACATATATTTTGATCAGCTAGAAGTTTTGGAAAACTGCTTTTTTCTGATCCATCAGTCTTTTGGCATTGCTTTCTTAAAACACACACACATACACACACACACACAAAGTATGTATATAAATATACACATACATACTAAGTGACAACACAATGGAGATTTAATAATAAGCAAGACCAAAAATTTTTATTATGTAATAAATGTCTTAGTGGAAGTCGCAGTGGATTTTTTCATTTCCAATATTAACTTTGAATGAAATTGCCAAATAATTTTAATGTTTGTAACATTGCTATTCTAAATTGAAGGTAATAGTAATAGAATATCTTTTTTCTTTTATTTACAATATTCCAAGTTATCTAAGTAATAGACTGCCAAGAATTTTTAATTTATAAATGTCATGGTATTGAAATAATATAATGTATCAAGATTTATAACAACAGGGTAAAAAAGGAAAAAGGAAAAACAACTTCAGCTATGATCCATTCTGGATGAAATCCAAGAGCAAAGGATTTGTAAAAGATGTTGAGTTAGCTCTGAGTTGAGCCCTGTTGGAAAGTTAAGCAAGGAGACATGGCTGGCATCAGCACTGCAGGTTTTGCAAATGTAAAACAAACAAAGAGCTTAAGAGAAATTCAAATGCGCCTTTAGCTCAGTAAACCACAGGTTGATCTTGGCACATGAAATATTATTATTTGGCACATGAACTATGCCTAGGCAGAATGAAAGATCTGACTTCTGACAAGCCGGAAGGAAAAGAAGAGAGAGGGGGGGGGGAGGACAGGAGGGAGGGAGGGAGGGAGGGAGGGAGAGAGAGAGAGAGAGAGAGAATGGACATTTTGGTTCTTTTTCCCTTAAACAGGATAGTTTCTATAGTTACTGTATATATTATTTAAATATCCATTTAAACATTGTACACAGACACACACAATATATTATTAATGTAGCTCATTTATTCAGCTGAAGTGGGGAAAGAGAACTAGGTACCTAATAAATATGTTTATTTTGCTTTAGGCTATTGTTTGTTTGTAATGGAGCTATTTCTTTTTGTATAACTAGGAAAAGACTTCCCCAAAGGTGGTTGTCTATCTGATTCTTTCACACAATGCTCAGCACAAAAATTAATATTCTTCATCTGTGCACTGAATATGTACTCATTCATCTCTTTCATGCGCTTCAGTATCCAGAGTCAACATGCAGGTAGCCCTTGACTTACAACCATTCATTTAGCCACTCTTTGAATTTACATTGAAAAAAATGTTACTTGGGACCAGTCCTTGCACTTACAACTGTCACAACATTTCCATCGTCATGCAATCAAAATCTGGGCACTTGGCGACTGACATGTATTTACGATGTTTGTCGTGTTCCAGGGATCAGGTGAGCTTCCCAGCTGGCTTCTCATAAGCAAAGTCAATGAGGGAAACTAAATTGCTTAACAACAGTGTGATCCACTTAATGACTGTAATGATCCACTTAACAACTATGGAAAAAGAAGTCATAAAATTGGGTGCAACTTGCTGAACAACTGCCTTGCTTAGCATTGGAAATTTTATTATTTATTATGAAATCCGGGGTACAAGTTGTCTAGTCACATAAAAATGAATGGAACATTTTACTTTTTTACTTTACTTTATTTTGGATTTATATACCGCTCTACTCCTGAAGGACTCAGGGCGGTGAACAGCCAAAGATAAAACACACATAATACAAAATTTAAAAACAATGTAAAAACACATTAAATAATTTGGCCCATACAGATTAAAACATCCCTATCGTTTTAAAACAAATTTAAAATTAACAATTAAAAGGAAGTTAGGCCAGGCCAGCCTGTTGAAATAGAAAGGTCTTGAGCGCACGGCGGAAAGTGCGTAAATCCAGGATCCTCCGTATCTCTGAGGGAAGCTCATTCCAAATGGCAGGTGCCCCCACAGAGAAGGCTCTCCCACTGGGGGCCGCCAGTCGACACTGTTTGACCGACCGCACCCTGAGGAGCCCCTCTCTATGGGCGCGTACTGGCCAGTGAGAGGCTACTGGTAGCAGAAGGTGGTCTCGTAAGTACCCAGGCCCTAAACCATGGAGCGCTCTAAAGGTGGTAACCAAGACCTTGAAGCGCACCCGGAAGACCACCGGGAGCCAGTGCAGCTCGTGCAGGAGTGGTGTTATATGGGAATGCCACGTCGCTCCCATAACCACCCGCGCAGCCGCATTCTGGACCAGCTGGAGCCTCTGGGTGCTCCTCAAGGGAAGCCAGGAACAGTTCCCGGGAACAGTTAATGTTCCCTCAGTTAAGGGAACATTAACTGAGTATCATCATGGCTGCCATCTATGCTTTTTTCTAGGCACGATGTCAGCGTTCCACGTAATGCACCCATAAAAAGAAAAACTCTGAGGCAGGCAAGCTCCTCAAAGAACAGTTTATCGGATACATCGTATTGGCACAAACTGGTGAAAGCCAACTCTGAGTTTTCCCATGGCTTCCACCTAGTTAAAAGTAAAAGTTTTCCATTCCCCCTCCCCAGTCATTAGACATGTTGTCCAATCCAAGTGCTGGCCCGTTGCTTGGTTACTGTCTCCTCCTCTGGCCAGCCGCCTGTGCGAATGTCCTTGGGTTCCCACAGGAATTTTTTATTGTTTTGGCTACAGGGTTGTGTGGCAAACCTGGGGCATCAAAAATGGCTTCAGCCAGGCTCCTTTCAAGGTTGATACACAATTTTCAGACACCCCTGGACATGTGCAACTCGGTAGATGTTTATGGTAGGGATTTTGACTCTAGGATCATCTGATTGGGAAAATGGGGAAGCACATGTTGATGAAATTAGCCATGATTTTTTGTAATGTTACGAGTCATAATAGATTGGCAGTACAGATTAAAACAAAGAAATATGCCACCTTTTCTTTTCTTTCCAAATTCCAGTCAGGTTATTTGCTTAATTTATTCTGCAAAGTTATTTGCTTAATTTATTCCTAAATTAATAAATAAATAATAACCAACTCAATTTCAAATTACTTTAGCATGGTTGGGGAGCTAAAACAATGGTAGGGTCGAAATCAGGTTCACTTTCCAGGTAAGGCAGTCATCCAGCAGCGTCTCTTTCCTTGCTTCTAACACTACTAATTCCTGAACAAATTCCACTACACTGAGCACAACCTTTTCAGAATAAGAAGAGAAAGTCTGTATAAAGGCTGTGAAATTTATCTGCAATGCAGCTTACAGTTAACTCATTCAACCGATCGGACTTCTTGTATCAAGGTGTGTCATACTGTGACATTTAAGTTATAATATGGTGAAACAAAAGTATGCGGTGGCTCAGTGGCTAAGATGCTGAGCTTGTTGATTGAAAGGTCAGCAGTTCAGCAGTTCGACTCCCTACTGCTGGGTAATGGGGTGAGCTCCCGTTACTTGTCCCAGCTTCTGCCAACCTAGCAGTTCGAAAACACGTAAAAAATGCAAGTAGAAAAATAGGGACCACCTTTGGTGGGAAGGTAACAGCATTTAGTCATGCCGGCCACATGACCATGGAGATGTCTTCAGACAGTGCTGGCTCTTCAGCTTTGAAACGGAGATGAGTACCGCCCCCTAGAGTCGGGAATGACTAGGACATACGTGCAAGGGGAACCTTTACCTTTACCTATTGTGAAACAAAGAGCAAACTCTATTTTTAATTTAAAAGTGACTCATTAATGTTAACTGAGAACAGAATTTTTGTATATGCACACACTTTAAAAAGTACTAGATTTTTCAAAATGTTTTAACTGTCTATAGAAAAGCAACTTGGAGAAACGTTTTCATATCAGTGATGGATTAGTCTGTTCTCTTCAATCACATAATCTATTAAAACTCTACATTTGATACATGCCTATAATGAATCTAATGCAGCTTTTGAAAAATAACCTAGAAGTCTGTAATTGCCACAGATCCTAGATTGCTTATTTTAAGGACCCGTATTTCTGTTTTCAAATTTTCCACATTTTATGTCATTTTGTATTCCATTACAGTATCCTGGAATAAAGGAATACCACAATGACTCTGTATTATTTTTTTGTACTCAGTATTAGATCTAACTCCTTGAGCCTAAGAATTTTTGGCAGAACCTCACAGCAAATTAAGCCACATAATATATGAGTGTTATATCAATGCAGTAAATAATTGCATTCCTACATAAATAAAAGTCACACAAAGGGAGAAACCATTTATCTCATTCATCTTGCCAACTCTTACCCCAATGGCTCCTGTTTATGTAGACTTACGATTTTAAAAATCCATTGCAATTAAAAGATATCACAAGGAAAGAAAAACTCAGCCATATTTCACTTTCCTTCTTGGAGAAAGTATGGTGTGTGTGTGTCTGTGTGTGTGTGTGAGAGAGAGAGAGAGAGAGAGAGAGAGAGAGAGAGAGGGAGGGAGAGAGAGGGAGAGAGAGAGATATTTTGCTAAATTCATCAAAACCAGTATTTTAAGAAATATTTAAATACATGACTTGCTCATGTATTTAAGCAAGTGAAGAGCAATTACAAGTAAGTTGTCTGTTAATAACAAGCATGTTAGGAAAGGGAAAGTTTAATTATTTTTTTAATATCATGGAAGAGTGTAAGAAACATCTATCATTGTATATAGACACCACCACACAATCTTTGTCCTGCTCCAGGAGCTGCTGCAAAACAAGCAAGATTTATTTTTTATTGTTAGTTGCAAAGTCGTATCCGACCCATCAAGACCCCATGGACAACATTCTTCCAGGCCTTCCTGTCCTCTACCATCCTCTGGAGTCCATTTAAGCTCTCACTTATTGCTTCAGTGACTCCATCTAGCCACCTCCTTCTCTGCCATCCCCTTCTTCCTTTGTCCTCAATCTTTCCCAGCATTAGGCTCTTCTCCAGTGAATCCTTCCTTATACCAGAGGTGCTATTCAGCAGGTTCTGCAGTGGCTATTGTAAGAGCTCTCCAGAACTCTGCGAAATAAATTGTTACATACTTACATACATTTAAGATCAACTGTTAGAAAAACGAGTGCATTTGTGGTGCCGGAAAAAGCCATATGAATACCAGAAGAAGAAATTTCAAGTCAAAAGGGTTAAACCAGACTTCTGACTCTGAACAATTACTGCTGTTGTTTTCTTCTTACCTTGTGAATTTTATCATTTGAAGATGTTGTTGACTGTTTCATGTGTCTAGCCTATGGTCCCAGGGAAATTCAGGTTGTATTAAGAATGTACTGAGATATCTTGGGACAATCGAGAATTATAATGTTCAAATTATGTGAAATTCATTTCAGATAATTCATTTGGCCAGATTTCCCCTTTGGTCAGTTCTGGGTGCCACCATGGAGATGATTAGGGGCCCCAAACCCTCAAACCTATGAAGCTAGATTGAAGGACCTGTGTGTGTTCAGCCCGGAGAAAAGATGATTGAAATCATATCAAATATGATAACACTCCTCAAATATCTCTGGATGGATATACCCAAGACCTTTCTGTTTTACAGCACAATGTAGACATAGAATCATGGTTCAAAAATATATGAAGGTAAGGGGGGGAAACCCTTAATATTAACAGCAGTTTGCAAGTAGAATCAATTACCCAGGAAGATGGTCTTCCTCTTTACTGAATATGTTCAAGCAGAGACAGGACAGCCATCTATATGGGATGCTTTAATTTTGACTGGATTAGATTTCATGCTCTACATGGCATTGATTTTATTATTTATGATTCTGTGGGGGATCTTTTGTAATTAAAAGAAGGGATATTTCAAGACATCAGAGCTGTTTTATTCTGATTAACAGTAATAGATAAGGAAAGGCAGAGTACCTCATTAGCATCCCGATTAAGAAAGGAACGAGTCCTGGCCTCATCATTAATGATGTTGTTGAGATTCTTAATTACCTGCCTTGATGTTAGAGCACTTTTACATTATTAACATTTTTTTACTCTTCGTTTTTTCAAAGCAGTTAGAAATGTCTTGTAATTGTTTTCAGCCCTGCTGGCTTTGAAACATCATGTGGCAAGTGGAGCTTTCTCCAATTGATCATCCTGAAGTACCAGCAAGCACAAGAAGACCGACTCTGCTTTTGTTCAAATAAATTGCAATGGAGTCAAAAAAGGCTTATAAAACATTTAATCAAAACGATCAGGAGCTGCTGCTGAATGGGTATCCTAACTTTGGAGATGCCTAAACCTGGTCGAACTACATTGAAAAACATATTACAAATTGTTTGCCATTTTCTTAAAATGGGGTCTTATGTACTCACAATATTTTGATGAGCATGTATGATTAGAGAGCCAAAAAGGCAACTGCTTTGTAAGCAGAAGCAAATAGATTGATTTAATGTTTAACAGTGAAATCTGTTGCTTGATGAGCTTGAACCTCTTGATCTGTACCTGCAGTGTGCCTGTTTTCCTGAGTTTCAAAATCCATGCACCCATATGTTAATGGTAATGGTACTGAGATTAATTTGGACTCAGTGAAGGCCTTACTGAATTCCACCCCACTCCTTATGTTCACTCTCTAAACCCTCTAAACTAATGTGAAGATGATCTATAAATGTCTTCACCCTGGCAATATTGAAATAGTGAGAAAAAGGAACTGCAGCAGGGCTTAGAAAAAAATAGTTTTCTCATTCCCAAACTACACAACAGGACCAAAAAAAAAATCTATGTCCATCCACAGTGCCTTAATTTATTATCTTTAATGTAATGTGATTTTATTTGGATCCCAGTGGTTCTGCTATCAGAGATGTATATACATGAGCTCAAGATCTAACTGAGACAGGACAATATTTCATGATTCTTCTTTTCTTTTATTCAAATCAAAGACAGAAATAAATAGTTTGAATATGAGCCAAATCTTAGCAAAGTAAATAAGTATTTTCAATTTTCAGATTCAATGTGGGCAGTTTTCTATTTCCTAGCTGTTACCTGACACAGTCCAAATTTCCCAATTTTAGTATATTAAGATATGTAGACTTCAACTCCCAGAATTAACAGAATAACAGAGTTGGAAGGGACCTTGGAGGTCTTCTAATCCAACCCTCTGCCTAGGCAGAAACCCTACACCACTTCAGACAAATGGTTATCCAACATCTTCTTAAAAACTTAAAAACTTCTAGTGTTGGAGCACCCACAACTTCTGGAGGCAAGTCAGTCCACTGATTAATTGTTCTTACTCTCAGGAAATTTCTCCTTAATCCTAGGATGGTTCTCTCCTTGATTAGTTTCCATCCATCTTGTCCTGCTTTCAGGTGCCTTAAAGAATAGGTTGACCCCTTCTTCTTGTAGAAACCCCTTTGATATTGGAACACTACTATCATGTCCTTTTTTTCATTAAACTGCTAGACATATACAATTCCTGCAGCCATCCTTCATATGCTTTAGCCTCCAGTCTCCGAATCATTTTTATTGATTCTTTAAGAGAATCATCTTCTCTTAAAGATATCAAGAGTAAGAAATATTGGTCTAAAGTAAAAATACCAAATAACTCCTTTTATTTCTCTAGCTCTGTATTTTTCTCAAAGGCATTTTGAAAAGGCAAATCTTAACACAATAGGATGTGTGTCTAAAATATTCATGTAGCTAATGTTTATGCACACACTCTTTGGTCCCTAATTTTTAGTCATACTTTTTAAAATTATTCCAGAAGTAGGAAAGGGGCTTATGTGAATAATCGATACCATTAATGACTGGTTAGTTAATTCTTTAGCAGGCAAATCCTTGTTGTATATTGCATAATTGTAACTCCAGCTGAAACTAAACAGTCCTCTACATTTCTGAAAACCCAGACCTGCTGCAAATGAAGAGAACACGGAGAATGTTTGGTCCAGTTTACAGAAGAAAAATGATGTGCAGGAAAGAGGAGGCTCAACCAGGTTTCCTCTTCTTATCATCCTGCAGCCCATCACAATCACTCTTAACCCAACTTGAGTTCTCTAATGGATGTCAAGAGATAAGCTATGTCAGTGAAGGAACTGTGAGAGAGGAAAGCCTTATTCTTAACAGTGAAACCACTCATCTGTCACTTGGGTTTTTTTAAGTGAATGTGCCTGTTTCAGTTTTAAAGACATCACTCTGGTAACACCATCTAATGATGGTGAAGAACTCCAATTGGAAACTGAAATTAATTGACGTTACAGTTCCAAAACCATAGTCAAAAGTGTGAACATTAAAATTTCAGAACCCATGAACACGGTTGCAAAAGTGTTGACAGTTTATAAAATCCACATAATTCAGATAATTAGGACCGAATCAATGCTGCTTTCCTGTAATGGCAACACTGATAAACAAAATATTTCATCACTTGGGAAAACTTTGCCCTGAAATTTGCATGTGTCCATAAACCCAAATTTGGAGAAGTGGAAATATTGAAGGATAATCGATGCTTGGCATTGTGTCCTGTGACTCTTGTCAGTGGCAAGGTTCAATTTCTCTTCCTAATCATCTGCTGTTCTTCAGACCAGGAGATTGATTTGCAGAGGGAGCTTGTTTCCTTCTTCCTCCTGCTTGGATATTGTTGGATGTGTGTCTCTATTAAGCAGGAAATGCTTATTTGTATCCTCGCTGAACTCGTGTAAATTAGGAAATAAGAGAGTTATAGTCCAACCCATGCAGCAGGCACCAGATTGCAAAAGGCTGCAGTAAGCAGTCACCTAACAGTAGGAAATAGATAGTGCCATGTTTCTACTATGCTATGACTATTCTGGAGCGGAAATGGGTTAAATTCTGCCAATTTTGTAATGATAATTAAAGCCTTAGTGCATAGTTATAAACAACACTAATATGCACTTGATATGCAACCCTACAGCTGCTATGAACTCTTTGGAAATGGCAGTAGGAATGTCTATATTTGCTTTCCTGCTTTTCCCCACCCCTGATGTTTCAGGAGGTGGAACCATCTGGCTGATTTTGAGCCTGAAAACCGAGCAGAATCAGGCATACTTGAATGGGAGATCACTTGAATATTACAAGCTATAGGCTAGATTGGTAACATGTGAAAGCATTGGAAGAAGGCAGTGGCAAACCACCTCCATAGCAGTTAGCATACCCTACTGATGAGAGGAGATGCGCTCATAGTAATGTATTTCATGGTTAAGATTTCATGGTTAAGGTTAGATATGAATCAGTATGATTCATATACTGACATAACTGTTAACTTGAAGACAAGCTAAAAAAGAAGCTTTACCTGAAGTTAGCTACAGTATGATTTATTTTGTGAGACTTCTAACTGAATAAATGTTGATAGAGCAGCTCTGCAACTTATTTGAGATGGTATCTGACAGTATGGAAAGTCATTCTGATTTGTATCCTGGAGTCAGGTTAACTGGGTTCCCCCCCTTTTTTTTATGATATACAGAGAGATTGAGATGATCAGACCTGTAAGTTGAGTGGAACTTATATTTAATTAAATTGTAAAACATGGGAACAAGAAGCAAAAGTGATCAGCAAAATAAGCAACTAGACATACTGTGGGCCCAAGTAATTGCCCACACAAGTCTTTTGTTGAGCAGCCACTCTAGTGAGTTCCTGTATTGTTTACCATTAGAGGATGATCAAAACTTCTTTTGACCTCTGCCACCATACCATCTCTGCTTGGAAATGGAATTTCTGTTTAAATGGAAGATTCACTGCAGTGAGAAACCCAAAAATATCAAAGCAATACATCTCAGTAAAGCAATATGCTGAGCATCGACAGCCAATTAAGTCAGAGTAGTTTTCGGATGAGGAGGAAGGGAGACGGTCACAATTAAAACTCTATTCTAGGAATATGGAAAGTGGCAGAGAAAATGAATTCAGTATAAACATTGGTTTCGCCTGTCATCTCACAATCTCTTCACTAGAAAATTCTCAGAATCACTTCTATTTAACAGTTGCTCTGAAATAATGTTGAGCCCTACTTCCTATAGCAATAGCAATATCACTTATATACTGCTTATATATTGCTTATAGACTTATATAAGCACTTATATACCACTTATAGACTTATATACTGCTTCACAGTGCTTTACAGCCCTCTCGAAGCAGTTTAAGCCGTCAGCATATTGCCCTCAACAATCTGGGTCCTCATTTTACCAACCTCGGAAAGATGGAAGGCTGAGTCAACCTATAACACAACCTGTGATTCAGAAGACAGAGTGAAAGTTTTTAGGTAATTAAAAAGGTTTCTGATACTTAAGCTATTTCTATACAAATCTGCATCATAATATTTTTCCAAATTTCCTTTAAAGAATCAAGTTGTAATGAGTTTTTCTTGTTTCTTCTTTCATTTGCTGTTTGATTTCATTTGCTGTTTGATGTTTGAATTATACTTATTGTAATCTGTTGAGGAGTGGAATATAAATCAGAGGACTGTATCAAAAAAATAGTTTACAGGGATGTGGAGATGATGATGTTGGTGAAGAAGATAGATAAGATAGATAGATAAGATAGATAGATAGATAGATAGATAGATAGATAGATAGATAGATAGATAGATAGATAGATGAAAGAAAGAAAGAAAGAAAGAAAGAAAGAAAGAAAGAAAGAAAGAAAGAAAGAAAGAAAGAAAGAAAGAAAGAAAGAAAGAAAGATATGATTAAAGCCAGTGGTTCTCAACTGAATTATGTTACTATTTGGTGCATTCAGAGCTAGGTTACATACACAACAAATACTCAGTTTTGAGTGGTAAATTATTCTAACTGTTCAATATATAGTTGTGTTGAGGAGTTATAATATATATGTTTTATATTAACATCTGATGTTTCCTAACATCTGGGAAGACAGTATCAAAATTCTAAAGGATTTTAAGAACCCGGAGCAATAAATGGAAATCCTTACATTAAGGTAAAAGCTTGAAAAAAGAATGTGATCTTCAAACTGGGCAGCAGTATATGCAAAAAATAAAAAAGGTGTCCTGTGGATCAGGACAAGTGAATAAGACTGAACAATGTGGTTGTAGTGTGAACAATGTGGTTGTAGTGAAACAGGAATAGAATTGCTAGTTTATAAAATATTATTCCTTCTTTATCAGTCAGATGGGTAGCAGCCTTTCTCTTAAGAGGCAGTTAAAAAGAGGATCAGGAGATCAAAGAAGCCTACCTTAACATATTGATCTTCTGGAAGTCTGGACAGACC